ACTCAGGAACTTCGTTTTTTTTTCTTTGGTGAAAATCCGAACTTAGTTCAAAGTGTATTTTGGCTTGTGTCTCTTTCGTGTGGGCTTTGCCTACGATGCGTTATTCTTGTGCAACGGGTTAATATCAGACGACAGGAAAAAAAAAAAGATTAAAAACCAAAAGACGTCATATCTTGCTGACGTCGTTGGAACTCCTTTCTATTGTGTGACATTGTGTACAAACCGTGTGATGTCTTTGGCAACACTCAACAGTCGAGAAAGAGACATATATATTTATATATAAAAATACAGAGACGGATCTAGGCTTTGAAGAAATATGTGACATATGAATCAGCGTGGACCTCATGTCGACACTATTAGGCTATGAATGGCGATGCAAATAATCTTCCATTCATCATGATGTATATGCCAACTTTCAATTTTGTTAATTAAAAATAATAAAAGGACGGTTGTTCCGCTTGCAGTAGTAATCCATGCAGAAATGATGGTACATTCATCTTTTTTTTTTGTTACACTGCCTGGTACTCTCAATAACCCAATCAACCAGTCAATCAAACGAGAATCACACATAAATCAAAACATCAATCAAACGCATTCTGACATTCCCTTTACCCAGATAAGCTATGGTCGCGCACTCACCTCGATTCCGGATTGAAAATGAGGATGAACACGAAGAACACACCACCCTAAATCGCCCAGCCTCTGATTTCACTCTCCCAACCTGAAATTAACCAATGTACGATCCTTTCTCCAAAACAATCACCTAAACCGAATTAGGGTTCTAGAAAATAGGAACGACACGCTGACTTCGAAAGCACACCGAGAATGGAGATTACCCAAGAATAAGGATCGAAAACCTGATCTAGAAACTAGACAGAGAGAACTTTCCACAGATAGGCGGATTGTCTTCTAAGTCCTTCTGGTTAGACGGTAATCCTCCCTCGAAATGGACTGATCGTAGACCAAAAATGCAGAAACAACTCTTAGTAAAACGACGATAACTCTCGGAATAGTAATCCAAATGACAAACCGATTTCATCCTAGAAGCTTCACTCCAATCTGATCCGATCTTCCCAGTCGTTCGTCTCCCCTTCTAAAATCGGACAGAACTGTTTTTCTCTCAAGAAAATCACTTCTCTCACAATTCTCTCATTCCATGAATCTCAGCCTCTCTCTCTGATTTCTCACCCCAAAAACACGACCAAAATACTTCTAATCGTGTTTTATACTCAACCCTAGGGTTTCACCTAACCAACCACGCGAACCGAATAATTAAAATTGAACAAGCCGGTTCAATTGAACAAATTTCTCCAAAAATTGGTTCGCGGTCGTTAGAGCTACATAAGAACAATCATCTCTAGTTTTAGTTCATAAACAATTTTTTTTATCACAAGTCAGACTATGAAAGAATACCAAGGTACAAGTTGCAGAATCTACACAAGACGATATCAAGGGACTCTTGTTGTCTTTACCTGGGTTTGTTCCCATTACTACCAACTGAAGGTTGTTTTAGTGAAGAGCTGAAAAGATTAAATAATTCTATCACTAGTATAAATAAGTCTACCACATATTATAAATATACCACTACTATAAATAGTCTATGATAGCGAACCATCAATAAGGCTACCGATCACAAAATTAAGTCTACTAACCAGGAATTTAAGTCTACCATCGAGCAATTGTGGATGGTAGAACCTGCACAGTCAATATTTGTCAAGAGTTTCAAGAGGATTGAGTATTCCAAGTATGAAATCGCATACAAAAGATTGAAGAGGATTTTTATTGTTGTTTCTGTCAAAGCTAAAGAATACAAGAGTTTCTATGTAAAGAATTATGGATCTCCCTTTTGAGGGAGTTACATTAATATTTATAGCAGACTAGGTCGGCTAGGTAACCCTAGAGAAAATAGGAAGCTTTCCTTATTCTTTAGAAGTTTTATTTCCATGAAGTCGGCCACTCCTAGTGGGTTGCGCCGACCTACTCGGCCCACCTCGTCATGCCTTGGGCTTGGCCCACCTCGTCCATCATGGGCTTCATGCTTCTGCAAACCCATTTTTCCATTACGAATTTGTCTTTGCCGTTAAGTAGTGTTCTTGGCCTTGCCAGGCTCGGCGGTCTCGTCTTGCCATTTCGACAGCACCGTTGTGCAGTCCGTCACAGGTCACCTTGTCGCTAAGTCTGTCCTGCTGGACTGGTCACCTTGTCATGCAGTCTGCCATGCCAGACACGGTAGCTCGTTACCTAGTATGTCCTGCCATACATGTCACTTTGTCACGCAGTCTGTCATGCCAGACAAGGCAGCTTGTCACCTTATATGTCCTGCCAGACATGTCATATCGTCATGCAGTTTCCAAACTTAGCCATTTTGTGGCTTTGATCTTACAGGGGTGGAATCCGACCCCTACAGTTAGTCTCCCAGTTCGGTAGTATCAAGTGTGATGGTACCGAGGTGAAAATTGTTGCAAAGGTAAGATCAAAGTCATGACATACTCGCTTCCGGGTGGCTATCAAAAAACCGCGTTCACCTAAACTCAAGTGATTATGCCAACCGAGCTCAAATTGAACGTTGTCTTCCAAAGAGTGTGCGACAACGAGATGTTTCAACTTCGCCTCATTGTGTTTCAATCAATTTTTTTTTTAAAACTCCCATATGCCGCCGCCGAGGTGGATCTCGGAGGCTTGACCCAGCCTCGTCGAAATAAAGCCGAGGAGAAAACGCCTTCAGGGTGTGATCGCTTGAGTAATAAGGTGTTGAGGAGTAGAGCCGAGGTGGATAGAACTTGTGACGAGGCGAGATTTCGGCATCGTGATGCTGAGGTTGACCCTCCTTTTTCACCGAGGCGAACCGTAGGAGACGACGAGGTGTATCTCAAAGTTTACAGGGTATCGATTCTGGGCGGTGAAGACAGATTTTGTTGTCGTTGTCCTGATGGAGCCGAGGTGGATACTTCTTGTGACGTCGAAGTGGATTATCACTGAGGTGAGACGTAGCCGGAGTTGGACTCGATTCAGAGTGAAGCGGGCTTGTTGCTCCGGCTTCCTTGTATCAATGTCGAGGTGAAGACTTGACACCGAGGTGGATATGATTCGTGACACCGAAGTGGGTTACGCCGAGGTGAGACACAACTAGAATTGGACTCGATTCGGAGTTAAGCCGAGGCGGGCTTGTTGCTACGGATTCCTTGTATCAACGTCAAGGTGAGTCTATTCGATGGGGTTGATTTTTCGTGGCGAGATAGACAACGATGTCGAGGTAAAGGTTTGACTTGGTGGCAAGGCGATGCAGTCACTTGGTGAAGCCGAGACGAGAATACCGTTGGCAAAGTGATTGGTTGCCGAGGTGGAGCAATTGCGAGGCACAATTGAGATAAGACAAACTTTGTGGTTGAAGCCGAGGTGAATTTTTCTTATTTGGTGCGCAACCGAGGCGAAGACAAGGTGAGAGATGTCGAAATTTCCCCCTTTGAGTCCATGGATTTGTCCTCTGGAGGCAGGTCCCTTAAATGATTTTCCATACTTAGAAGATTTCGATGATTTGGGTGATGGTCCTTCACTTTTTGCAGTGATATTTTTGGTTTGTAGGTAAGACGCCACTGCCATATCCACTCCAAAAATCACCTCATTTAAGTAGTATGGTTAATGTCCAAGTTGACAAGTTTTTCCTGAAAATGAGCATGCCTTAGAATTTTAAGATTGTTCGGTTTACGGACGAGCCACCATTAACACGCCTATTCCGAGGACCATGCTTTTTTTTATAAGACCAACGATCTGCTAGTTGGGTTCTGAATGATCTGTTTGGTTTACGGGCAAGTGTCCATTGACACGCCCGCTCTGAAAAAAACATTTTTAACAAGACCAACGATTTGTTTACTGGGTTTCGAATGATCAGTTTGGTTTACAGGCCAGTCTCCATTGATACGCCCGCTCCAAAAATAACATTTTTAACAAGACTAATGACTTGTTTGTTGGGTTTATTGATGAACATTCCAGCTTACAGAGTTGTTCCGTGAACGCATCCACTCTGGCAATGAACATGTTATCGCATTGCGACCAACAATTTGGCTGTTGGGTTTAGAATGACCATTTCGGTTTACAAAAATGTTTTCAATGAACATATCCGCTCCTATAATGAACATATAGGATCTAACCAGCGATTTGCTTGCTGGGTTTAGAATGAACATTTCGGGTTACGCGTGTGTTACTCTTTGAACACACCCGCTCGATAATGGTCATATACAAATTTGTATAACGCGCTTTGAAATCCTGCTAAGGATGTAATTGTCATATCTGAAGTATATGTAACAGTTCGTTATGGTGGCCAGCAGCAACGACAGTGAAATAAGATGTCTATTTTGTTAAGACTTTAGTAATCTGTAAATGAAGTGAGTAAGATGCCTGATTTGTGAAGGTTTTAGTAATTCATAAAGGATGTGAGTAAGATGCCTGTTTTGTTAAGGCTTTAGTAATCCGTAAAGGATGTCATTTGAAATGCTTTAATTAGACATAGAGTCTATT